ACAAGATTTTAGAACACTCTGATATACTTTACTCTGACAGGTCCCACAGATGGACTGAATCCAAGAGCAACTTCAAAAGCTGTTTGCTTGAAGGAATCATGTGGGAAACTCTCACCTAGTCCAAGAACTTGCACAGTACACACACACACACACACGCACGCACGCACGCACGCACGCACGCACGCACGCACGCACACAAAGAACGGCATTCACGACGACTGCAGGGGCAGGAGCCCCACAGAAGGTGCGGCACAGCGACTCAGGGAGACCTGAGCTGCAGACCAACAAGAAGCAGCTGCTCATCAAGGAGAGGCTAAGAGGGGGAGGCAGGAAGGGAGCTAGAGAGGCCTGTGATCTGTGGACACAGCAGAGGAGCCTTAGAGGCTCTGCAGGACACCTCCCCTGAAATGATTCTCTCTAGTGATTCAGCCTGGAGTGTCTACCCCAGAGAGACTCTCATCTGGGGTCCAGCATCTATGCATTTCAGGCAGGAAGTGATGTCGGTATGCAAGTGTGATGCAGTCAGCCTGCCTCCGGGAAGGGTCCCTAGGCAGGCCCCAGTTAGACACTCTCTAGAGCAAGCAGTGTACTCCTCTACACAGCTCTGAAGGGGAAGAGCAGTGGCATGGACGTGGCCTTTTGTCCTCTGGGATGTGATCCTTGGGACAGGTGACAGGCCCTGACAGGCTGGTGGTGAGTCTGTCCCTGCTGAAGGCAGCCTTTGCATCCTTCTCAGTTGCCTAGAGGTCACTGCAAACTGCTGTCCTTTTCCACCCACTGGTTCCTGCCTTGCCTGCCGTTGTCTCCAACCCTTCCCCTGTCTAGGCTGCAGAGCAGACGACATGCTGGGCTTCATCTCTGTGATCATAACTGGGCTCCTGGCTATGGCTCACACTATGTACTGGAGCTACCTGAAAAGGGTCCCAGTCACCTTCAAGTTCCTGGGCCTGCCATCCTACAGGAGCTGACAGGAAAGTAGTGCACATGGTACCCACAGCTTAGCTTTCATTTTAGCTCTGTAAAGGGGACACAGCTCTTCTGGGGAACTCCCACTTCCCCTCTCTGGGAGCAATCCTACCTGCTAAGGCCAAGGATAAGGCAGTGTAGACTCCAGACCCCTATCTCTTCACACAGAAATGCCCAGATAAAGCAACCTGTTGCTAATCTTGGAATTCTCCGAGTAGCCGAACCTCATGATATTTCTAATATGTGAAGTTTAAACTACAAAATTCAATTTCATAGGGTTCAACTTAATATATATTTTTTTGTATATAGCCTTAAAAAGACAAGGCAAGGACAGCACACTCAACCAATGGAGGATCCTGAAAAAGAGAAGGTCCTGTCTCTAAAGAAGAGGGCTAGCCTCACCTGAGGAACAAGCAATAAGAGTCTAGCCCCAAAGGGCCTCAGTTCCAGGGATTTAGGAAGGAAAGATTCATGGTGGGACTCATGGATGAGCTCAAATACAATACCTCTTTTAAAAATTTTGTGTGTGTCTATGTGTTTGTGGGTGTGTGGTGTATGTAGGACTGTATGTCTGTGTGTGAGTGCTCCTGTGGAGACTGGAGAGCAACTTCGGGAGTCAGCCCGTCCTCCGTGCGTTTGAGACAGGTTGTCTTATCTTTCACCACAGCAGAGGCCAGACTGGCTAGCACCCATGAGTTCTCCTGTGGCCTCCCACCTCCTCACAGGAACACTGGGATTATAGACATGTGACAGCTGCAACTTCCTTTTGGATGTGGGTTCTGGGGATCGGATCTCAGTAGTCAGGTTTGTGTGGCAAACACTTTACCCATTGAGTCATCTTTCAAGTAGGTTGGAATGAATAGACCTGGTCTAAATCTAAGAAGAATATGCCTAAAAAGATAGGCAAAAGCAGATCAAATAAACCCCAAAATTAAAATGTAAAGAAAACCAAACAGACAAAGAAAACATGAAATCCATATTAAAATGAACCAATTCTCCCTGCTCTCCACAGATTGGGTCTAGAGTTCTATGGTTTCCAGATGGTACTGAGCTATGCTAAATGCTCACTTTGTGAGACCTGCCTTCCTGATATCTATTTCTTTGACACTTCAAATTGCAAACTGGATAAAAAGGGGCATTTACGCATGTGGGGTAGACCCAATTAACTCCACAGCAGCCAGAGTACCCCAACCAACCCTACACCCTCCTATACCCTTGAAACTATAAAATCTGCACACCTGGTCCCTGCCCAGGAGCAAACGACTGCACTAAATTAAAAAAAGCTGCTCTGCACAAGGCGTGGCGTGGGAAACTGCGGCCTACGCAACAGCTACTAGCCACCAGAGGTAGGCTTGGCTGCAAGGCCAGCCCTAGCCTCAGATCTCCTAGGGTACCAGGAGGAACAGGATGCTGGAGGCTGAGCCCAGCTCTGTCTAATACTGCTGGAGTGGACCTTGTATGGCTAGAAGTGTCCATGTACATTGCAGAGTTGGGAGCAACTGTGTCCCATCTTCCTAGTCCCAAAGACCCATTAGGATATGCTGGCATAGGACACAGCCTGTGTGTGGCCTTGTGTCTCCCAGCACTGGAGACAGAGATAAGTGTGGCCTCCTGAAGTTCTAAGGACATGACTGGGGAGTCCCACAGTCTGGTACCTGGATCAGGGCCAGCCAACATATCCTGGGATAGCAGTGATGGGATGGGCACTGGCTACAGAGGCAGTTTGGGTAAAGCCTGGTTGTTTGAATGTCACTCCTCCATCAGTAGACACCCTGCCCTGACAGTGCTGCCACATGAGGCTGCTTCTCTAGGTCTGGCCTGACATGTATGAACACAGATAGCGCCAGGTCAGTGAGTCCCACTATGTGGTCAGCATCACTGTCAGGCTTCCCCAAAGTGAGTGTTTTCTTTGCAATTTTGGCCTCTGTATTTTTCCTTAAACCACACAACAAATCTGAGGCAGAGTTTAGGATTTTACAGGTGCATGCCCTGTCTACCACCCCATGGGATTATACCCCCGCCTCGTTGTTTTCTAGTCCGAGACCTTAAACCTCAGTGAAGGTCCTCGGCAGGCATCATAGAAGGACAGCTTGCTGGGCAGCTCTACCTCGCTCCTGCCCAGGCAGTGACCCCAAAGGGACACTGGTTGAAGGTGTCCCCTGCTTCCCAGTTCTATTTTAAAACCAAAGCCATGTTTCAGTCCCTTGGACTCTAAGTAACACATGCAGCCTGTGCTGGGCGATTGGTGGTGCTCAACAGTCACACAAACACAGTCACTTCAGTCACAAGTCGTCGTGCTGGACACAAAGTGTGGACAGAAGCACGTCCAGTGCATACTCTCTTCTCCAGCACCTCATGGACAGGCAGTGGGGGAGTGGTCACTGGACACACACAGTGTCCTGCAAATGTCCGCCCACCCATCCTGGACACCCCTTTACAAATTCTTGTGGCCTCTGCCAAAAGCGTCCTTTTTGTGGTGCCTCTAAGCCACATTATGGCAAAGCATAAAAAACAGACGGCCTGACTTTTAGCATTCATAAGGCCAACAGCGGACCAGAATTGCCAAGCATCCTTTCCTTCAGAGATCCCTCAGAACTGGGGTCCTGAGCCAGGTTTCATGCCTTTTATTGAGACAGAATCTCCAGTATGAAATGCAAAAGCAGTCAGGACCATCCTTACCATCTTGGAGAATCTTGCCCTTTGATCCGTGGGCCTAGAGTATCACACAAACTCAATTTCTCTCATTGTTTGCAATGAGAAAATCACACTGCTTTCAGAGCTTTGAGATGTCAAGTGTGTACACATGCATCACACACTATCCGGGTGGAGGGCAAGGGGTCCTGGGGAGGAAGGTCAGGTGCCCAGGTCATAAGAAGAACATGGGGCTCAGTGAGCCTGTTTACATTTTAAGCAGTAACTTGGTTGCAAGGCTAGTTAGAAGTCTTTACTCCTGATGATGTCCATATTACCTCCTGAAAGACAGCTTCGGGTGACCAGAAAGAACAGGGCACCGGTTCATTCCAGCTGTCCTTTCAGCTCATTTGCATGAAGCATATTCCCGTTACTGCTGCACTTGTCTGACCTGTCAGTGAACTCAGTCAGGCATTAGCCTGACCTTAGAGGGCTTCTGAACTTGTTCTTCTGAAAATTCAACACCATTTTCCAAGTGTGAGCAGAAAATCAGCAGCAATTCAATCATCTTTAAATTGTACTTAGTAAGCACCATTTTGAACCTCAAGATTGCTTTAGATTCACTATAGTTAAACTCTCAGGGTAATTTTTTTCTTAAGGAGACTCCTGCATTCACGTATGTAGGTTTGAATATGAATATATACTCAGTTCTATTAAATGATTATTTATAAAAGTCACTACGAAGAGTACATTTCAGCTATGTCTAGGGTGATGTTAGTGACGATAATTAATTTCTGTGTGAAGCAGATCCAAACAGAATCTTTAAAAGAAATGTCTGTGATTTTATTTTTAGGTTCCTGTGAGATATTAAAGGCCTTTAGTAAACTATAGTAAAGCAACTTGTTCTCAATTTATCTCTTAGAATGTATGCATGGTAAGTCGGAGAAATTAAAATTAGCTAAGAAGATGCAGTGCTCCTGCGGACTCCCGCAGTAGCCAGCACCGAGTGACTTTATGGAAGTGGCTAATTGTCCAGATACAAGGCTCATTTTCTGTGCTGTTGGCAGGCAGAGGGCTTAAGTTAACAATAAGCTTATTGAAAAATTTACTGCCATTCAGACGTGTTCCTATTTAAACCTTTCAGCCGAGCGAGACTCAAGGGTTGATCTGCACGCATCGTTTTTGCTGCTTTTGCCAAGAATTATGTGACCAGTTGCCAAAACTAACACAGCCACTTGGAATGGGCGGGTCGCAAGCTCTAGGCCCTTGCTTGGCCACATGCCGCCTATGTTTGGATGATGTGAAAATTCCAAGTCTGTGCAGTCAGTAAACAAGCTGTGATGTCAGCAATAGCTAGTAAGTCAGGCTCCCCAAGGCAGTGTGGGAGAGGTGGGGTTACTGACCTTGCTGGAACACGGGGTGGTGGAGAGCAGGCAAAGGGAGCCTCTCTGTGGCTGTGGGTTCACGGAAGTAGGCATCCAGCCAGGCCGTACACTGCACCAGGGCCTCTGGCATGCCCTCTGGCCTGCTGAGCACCTCAGGAGTGTCTGTGGTCTCTTCGGGGCTGCAAAAGGGATAACCAGCTTAGTAAACCACAGGTGTGCAAAGCAGACCTACTGCACCTAGTGGGGAAAGATGGGCAGCCACTCCCTGGCTGTGTGTGCCTTCACTAGCTGCCCACAGACCTTCTGAGGACGGGACACCGAGGAAGGTCGGGTGGTCCCACCTCCAGGGACCAGGGAGGGATTAGAACTTCCAAGCCTCAGTAGCCACAGTGTGAAGTCTGGGGATGGAAACAAGAGAGACTGACATGGGAACAGCTCAAGTGACAGCACGAGTTACAATCAAGTAATCACCACTAAAAATATCATCAAGGGGCTGGAGAGATGGCTAACGCTTAAGAACACAGACTGCTCTTGTAGAGGACCTGGGTTCAATTCCTAGCACCTACATGGTGGCTAACAACTGCCTGTAACTGGAGTATGGAACTCCAGTTCCAGGGGATCTGACACCCTTTTCTGGCCTCTTCAGGCACTGCACATACATGGGATACATATATACATGTAGGCAAAATGTTCATACACATAAAATAAAAATACATTTAAAAAGTCTAAAAATCACCAAGTAACTAGACTGTAGCACCCACATCCCACCCCTCCCCCCTGGAATTCCAACAGCAGAGGAGGCACCCTACATCTCGGATAGCATTTTGTTATACTGGGGGAAGCTCCTTGGACTGAGCTGACTCACATTCTCAGCAGTGTGTGCTGATATCACCCTGTGAGTTTAGTATTTCAACAACAGCAGGGCAACTCCTCTCCTGACTGGGACATCTGGTGGCAGGTGCTTACTAGCAGGGGCTTAGTACCAATCCTCCTGCTTGTTCTTCATGGTCCTCATCCTGCTGATGCTCGGCCATTAAATCTAAGTTTTTCCTAACAGCTTCGATGGCTTCCTGCTGTTCCTTCACGGGGCCATCTTCTGTTCCTTGATTGGCTCTGCATGGAGCCCGCTGCTCATCCTCAGTTGGTGTCTGGCCTGTGTTCCACAGGCCAGGAAGATGTCCTGCGAAGGGTCTGGGGTTCTGTGGCACACCCGGTTTCTGTTTCAGTTTCCTGGTCTCCACACCCAGGAGGCACAAGCACTGGGTCTGTTTTCCCAGAGGATCTTCCTCCTCAACTTTCCTGGACCCTAGACAGTGGCATTTCCCCTGTGACTTCCCAGGCCCGGTGAGCATAGACTTTCTGGTCTTCTTAGGTATCTGTGTCTGGGTTCTCATGGGAAAGTGGGCAGCACAGGCTTGGAGATTCCTTGGGCTGCCAATCTGACCTTCCCTGTTCTTGGATCCCATGAAGGCTGGCTCATCTGTTCAGTCCACAGAGTGTCTGTGTCCACATGTGGCCATCTTGGTGAAGAGGGGAGGTCTCCATTCAGCTTTGGAAATGTGGCCTGGCACAGTGCGACAGGTGAGGCTGAGGGCCAGGAGCCCAGGCCAGGCCATGGGCGAGATGGGCTCCACAGAGAGGAGTCACCAGAGTCACCTGGGGGAGCAACAGCATGGATGAAGAGCACAGAGGTGAAAGGACCTCAGAGGTGAGGCAGAAGGCTCTCGGGAGTCACAGGAAGGTGAGCGCGTGGTCAGGGAAACCAGTGTCCTATGTTCCATGGACATGACGGGAATTTCATGTGGGGCGAGGTTCACACTTGGTGAACTCCTGGCCCATGAGAGACCCTGTCTCAAAAACAAATAAGAGGATACCTGAGTTGTCATTTGTGCCTTACGACCCGCCCACCAGCTATGAACACACAGGCACACCCAAAACTTTAAGCCCTGAGTTGGCTGATGCTGTTGACATCACAGGTCAGGAGACACACAATGCACTGGTGGGCAGTTTCCTGATTCTCTGTGTCCTGCAGATTTGAGTCCCACAGGACACTGAGACCTGTCAGCAGGGCCTTGCAAACAGGTGTCAGTGGAGGCTTAGCATTCTCACTAAGTCCTTGGATCATTCAGAAAAAGAACTTCCGGGATGAGACGCACACAGGGTCCCATCACACTGTTTTCAGAGAGGACAGAAAGTCTTCTAGAAAAGCTCTTTAAGTACACAAACACTGCTGGACATTTAGATGGAACCAGAGGATGGCTGGAGACAGCAGCCAGAATGGGGCAGAAGTGGATGAGTGACAGAAGTCAGGCCTGGGAGGGCTGGGAAGGTGCTCACATGGTAAAGTGCTTCCCACACAAGCTCAAGGCCCCAGTTCAATCCTTAGCACCCTTGTCAAGCAGCTGGGCTCGGTGGTGCATGCTTAATAATCTCAGTGCTGGAGAGGGAGGGGAAGACAAGTGGATCCCTGGGGCTCACACTTGGTGAGCTCCCGGCCCAGCACAGACCCTGTCTCAAAAAGCAAGGAGGAGGGCATCTGAGCTGTCATTTGTACCCTATGACCCACCCACCATCTACACACACACACACACACACACACACACACACACACACACACAAAAGCCCTATGTAGTACCTGGATGTTGTTCTGGTTTCACTTCATTAATGATTGTCTAGGCACTCCCAAAACTTGAAGCCCTGAGCTGACTGATCCTGTTGATATCACAACTGGGCAGAACAGGACCAGGCTTTTCTGAGCTGCTAGGCAGGGCCCTCACTCAGCTCAGTGCCTGAGCAAGCAGGTAGGATCTCAGCCCCAGCCACTGCCTGTATATCTCAGCTAGGCCCCAGGGATGCTGGGCTTACCCCTCACCCCAACAGAGACTGTACCCCCCTTCACTCCCGCCATCTTTCTCGTGTCCTGGGGAGATGGAAATGTCTCAATGCCCTGACTGCTTTTCCTATTAGTGATGTCTAATCTGGGGAGGGACAACTTCTACCTGTGCTTAGCTCAGCTATGATCAATTTTAGAGACACAAGCCCAGCCCTTCGATACTTGCTCTGTTCCTCACTAACCGGGTGAGTGGTAGACTGAGGATATCTAAGAGGGGAGATGGAGAAATATGTGATTTACCCTCATGGTCACTAGGAGTGGTGAGAAAAATGAGGGGCAGGCATGGTGTCTGCTGGGGGTAAGCAGAGACCCTCCAGAGTGGGCCACCAGTAGTATTTGTGGTTAATTCTACCTGCTCAGATGGATAGTGATCAGAACTCATGTCCACATGCCCCAACCCTCAACCAAGGACAGGGGAGGGACAACTCTGCCTCTGGGCCATGTGGCAAACCACTCTGGCCTGGTACTTTTTATAGCAGACTTTGGCCAACTCGTCAAGGAAACTGGAGTGGTGGGTGGGATGAGGCGGATGCAGGCGGATCAGGCAGCCGAGTTTAGTCAGCATCTCAGTGTCAGGCTCAGAGTCAGCCTTCAGGACCTGTGGGTGTTGACAGGACACTGCACATAGCGGTCCCTCGGGGAAGTCACTGTTTACCAGGCGCAGGAGGCATCTGAGAGCATGAGGCAGGGGCTTCTGTATTTCTTAATGACTCCTCAGCCTTGTGTGCTGCCCATATTGGTTCTACCTCCAACCTTGTGAAGGGAGCTGACATTTGAGCTGTTTCCTTCCATTTCTCGCTCTTAAAAGGATATGTGAAGAATTTTTATAGTAGTCAAATTCATCTTAAATTGATTTTTTATGCTTGTGCTTAAGATCTCACCTCTGATTTACTCTGTACCTCTTCTTCTAACTCTTTCTCTATCAGCATTAGATAACTAGCCATGGGTGAAATGTAATTAAACAGCTTTGATTCTGAAGCAAGGATTTATGAGACTACATTTAAAATGAATGGCTTTAAACACACACATAAAACCAGATTTTTAAAGCCATGACACAAATTTCCATTTCTACAATAAAATGAAATTTATTCTCCTGCCCTCCTCCTCCAGCCTTTCCTGCTGCTTGTCCAGAGAAGAGCCACAGCACGACAGCACCAGTAACGGCTGCTCTTATGATGGGGGAGTTTCTCCAGGCTTCCCCACTGACGAACCCTGAAACTCCAATAATTAGGGGCTCTGTGGCCCACACTTTTTAAAATTCCATATCCCACTTTCCTCAGCACCAGCCTTGGATGAGATGCAAAGCCCTAGCGCCAGGTGCCGCACGGGGACCTTTGCTCCCACACCAGCGGGTAATGCAGGAGGCACATCGGTCCATCTCCCTAGGCACTTCCAGCATGTTGCTGCCCCCACAGAGTCATAAATACAGAGGTGAAGATTGTGACACAAATCTCCCTTTTCTTTTTAACTAGGCACAAGAGGATGGCTGGGGGCTGAGAGAGACACTCTACTTCCTTGAGCCTCTGCCATGGGGAGACAGAGTGCAGGGTGTCTTGAAGCGGTGAGGCTGGGGCCAACCACGGTCTGAGGATTCTTCTAGAAACTGGCAATGGTTGGCAACCTCAGGCCAAGAGTGTGCTACCTCCTGGAATGCCAGAGCACAGAACACGCCACAGGAAGTTGAGCTGCTGCTGAACTTCTGTCCTTTTACTTCTAAACATGGGAACAACAAAAGTCCCAGCCTCATCTTCTGTCACATGAGCATACCTGTACTCTCCTGTATAAAGCTCATGAAGCTGTATGAAGGATGTCAAGACACAGAGACACTCAGAAACAGGAAGGAAACAGCCAAGATGGAAGGGAGCCGGTCTTGAGGCGTGGGGAGGGATGCATGTGTGGCATGGAAGCTCTGCCTGGTTACCCCAGTCTTGTCCTCTGAATCTAGTCACGTTAGTTAACCACTGGGTGGAGGTCAGGGAGAACATGGCTCTGCACAATAGGCATCACAAAACCAGAGCTTTCCTCAGGAGCCTTGTCTGGGGTCTCCTTCGTCACCGAGCACTGACGTGTGCATGCTGTGATACACGGGACAGAAGGGCACACCTGTCCCCCCTTTTCCCGTCCTTCCCAGGTTACAGATTCGATTCTCTCAACAATGTAAAACATCACCCAGCCCATGGGAGACTTGCGCATGCAGAGTGTGGTATGCCTAGGTCACAGGCGGGAGAGAATCGTTAAAGGCTCATTTCTCAATGACTTCTACTTCCCAAGGCATTAAAATGAGAG